TAACAAGCTCAGTGTTATTACCTTTCTTTTCCCAAAGACATATCAAATTCCTCATTTAGAATTTTCTCCAAATGATTATCTCTTATTCCACAATTGCTTAAAACAAACACTTCCCTCTTACGAAATTTGTCCTTCATTTCCTGCTATACAACTTAGTTTGTGGTATTAACAAAGAGAATGCATCTTTACTCATTAACTCACTTACTTACATGTACTTTACTCTGTTCATTTATAGTGTTCAATTTGAACCCTGCCGCACCAACTAAAGGTCATACAAAAACCTTCTGACCAGAATGAAATTATAGCAGAAACATAGTTTTAGCTCCAGCCATTTACACCAAAGATATTTCACAACCAGTAATAACACTTCCATCTCGAAATACATACCCAAAAATGGAATAAAAAGAAAAATACATCATTGTTTGAAAGAAAGACTTTCAAAAATGTCCACAGGGTTAAGTGCATGTATACATACCACATATCAAATTGTTAGTAAAGGGGCACAGACAGATTAAAATATTTTAAATATTTGTTGAATTTGGTATCAATTTTAAGTAAATTGGCTCAAATTTTTCAGTTAATTTTGTGGCAAATGGTTCAATTCAATACTCAAAATTGAAATTCCATAGGATTCATTGCGTCAATATTGTCTTAAAGTTTTCCTTTTCCTATTTTTTTTTTTAGGACTTACGAGATTTTTCATGTCATCCCAGAGAAACTTAGTCAGCTCAGAGAAGTCAAGTGAGTTGTCCTAAATATTTCTTTTCTCATAATTCAAGATTGATTGCTTTTAACAGAATCACAGATAATCCAATTATTTAACTATTAAACTGAAGAGTTATACCCTTAAACAATAGAGCTGCCCTGGATAAAAATATGCTTCACTGTATGACTTAAGATAAAAACATTTTATGACATCTAAAGAGTTGAAAAACTAGCAAAAGCAAAAATATTGCAAGCCCTAGTCCCTAAATCTTGCAAATAAATGCAAAAAAGTTATTTTTACTCTCAAATAAAGAAATCACTAGTATTTAAAATTTTCAAAATGCACTTGATGCCAATGAAACTTGTCGACATAAATAATGAATTAGGTGTTAACCTCTGTGTGATATTCATTCCCATCTTATAGAGTAAAACAACAAATACAATTTAAAATAGAAAGAGAAACCAATATGGGAACAAGCTGACCTAGACTGGTTCGAAAATCTATCACCAAAAAAATCATAAAAATCAAAAGCTTAATGATAGCATGAAAACAGGCTTATAGCTCCTATTTGGAAACACAGTTATAAAAAAAATCAATCTTGGGTTACTTTAGGTTTTATGATGTTTGAAAGTTCTGTTTACAAAGTGATATTGAAAGAAAAAAAATGCTTTGAAGGACAAATTCCTTTCCTCCATAAACCCAGATCTTTAAACCAAAACCTCACTTTTAACCAAGCAAAACCCCAAAAGTTGTCTATTCAAACCAAACACATAGAACCAAATGAAACAGTATATATTGGGAACAAAGACTGACAATAAAAGAGTAAAAAAGCTAAATTCCAAATATTATTTTCATCTTTTTATAATGTGCCTATTAGTTTAATCAAGCACACTTGAAATTTTCTATATATGATTCAAATTACTTTTGATTGCTTTGACTAAGTCAAGGACACTTATCAGACCATCCATGCAATAAACATACTTATCTAATGCTTGAGTAAACATAACATTCATGCATAAAACACACATCACTCCAACTTCACATAACAGAGCAAAAAGAAAGAGTGCAGGAGGGAAGCAGAAAGACATGTCCAATTTTGTTGTTAAAACCAAGATTAAAGAAAATAAAAATTTGACGAATGGAAATTTGTCTTGAGATGATACATGTGATTTTTGGCTGAATAATAAACATTAACAATGTCTTAACAGTGTAACATCTTTCAAGTGAAAAAGGAATTTTATTTAATTTTACCGTGACAAACTGACTATTGTGAATTCGAAGTTAAACCATTTGTCACTCTATTTGTAAACAACTCCCAGCAGGAATTTAATAAACAGTCTATGAAATCGGAAGAGATATTTTCACTTGTCACAGCATTCGACTGCTGTTTACTACAAATTGCCTGTCAGAAATGACGACAGTTCGGCGCAAAATACAGCAACCTCAAACAAGATTTGAACAATACACTACCAGGTGTTTTGCTTGTCACCGAAAGTTTTATCCACCCGAAATAGTATTTATATTTAATGACCATATCTTTATGTTAATCTGAATTTTCAGATGTCTTCTGAAACGGCTTGCTTCTGAATTGAAAACTAATCAACATGCAGTGTTAGCTAAATAGTAATTTGCCGCGTTTGTTCGTAAATAACATCAATTCACAAGGGACTCTAGAAAGTGAATCAAAACTTGCTTGTGTAAACAAATAAAATATTTCATAACCCTTAGAATCTAAATATTCACCCGATTTTGGCTATTTTTTCAATTACTTGACAGTTTACTTACTGATAGAGAAGCATCTATTCCATTTCAGACAACAAAGCAGACAGAGAGGCATGTAATCGCGTTGTAAAATATTAAAATTAAATTTATTTAGATATTACCTTTGTGGATGCGATTTGTCGCAATAATGCGTATTGCTAACCTGGCAAAAGGTGGCTTCGGAAATTTGCTCCAAGACGATCGACGATTTGATGGAGGAGATCTAGTCCTGTTAGGCTTATCTACAATATAAATGATTTTTTATTTGTCTGATAATTTTGTGTAGAAGGGATGAAAGAAATGTAATAAATCAGTAAACGGCAACCATTGGCTGGAGGTCGATCAAAGGGTGCCAATATAACAAGACTGAAATTAAAGAACGATTTTACCAATTTGCAATGATGCCTGCAGTCTTAATGAATAAACCCCTCAGTTGCCAGAAAAATAGAATGCCGCCATGAGGTTAAATTTTTACGATCCCCCACGCAAATAGGACGTTGAGAAGTCTACTACACATACAGGCACAAACAAACAAAGAGCAATCGGTGTTCAAAATATAGTATGTCTGAATCCCAGCTTGCGAAACTCGTCGTATTTCATGTCGATCTATTATGCACAAAAGCAAAACAGATTCATAAACGCGACTTTTTTACATATTTCTTACCTTGAAATTGCTGCTGTTTACCCAACCAACGAGCCCATCGAGGAGCTTGTCGAAGCCTATGAACTCAATTCCATTAGAAGGAACACTTAGATAATTCGAGAAGTCTTCTGCCGCTTTCAGCCTTCTTTGGGTATCTTGAGATGTTACAGCGGCTAAAATCCCTTCTAAAAATGCTATGTCTTTCATTTCCGTTTCCTAAGTAGAGCTCTTGAGTTGGAAATAAGAAAAGGTCCACCAAGAACGAACTCGCAATAATTCACTTTCAAACCACTTCGAACCGCATTGCCGTAGAACAGTATAGGATTCGTGTCTTCAAAGTACTGATAGCGCTATATGACAAAAAGCCATGTTACTCGACAACTTTTTTCAAGAATTAGCTAAACAACAGCTCTTAAACAATAGGATCCAAAAGAGTTGACCCCAATTTTTTCCACCTAAGATTTTCTACTTAGAATACACAAGATTTCGCCGCCATTTTAGAGTCCAACGAATGCGACGTGGTGACGTCATACCAAATGAAAAGAGAATTGGAAACTAATCAGAATTTAAAACAGGCTTCCAAGTGAGACAAATCGTTACTAACGCAAAAAAACGCCAAAATTACATTATTTCATTCAACCTCTTCGACTCCAATTTACTTCGAGTAATATCTTTATATCCCCAAAAAATTAATCCACCACAGACATCTCGAAAATTTTAAAATACTGATTTAAAAAAATTGAAAAAACAGGGGTCACACAACTGGTCACACAACGCTTCCAGTATAGGTTACTTTGATCGCTAGCCGCTTGTTTTCTCAGATCTCCTCAAATTCGCATCGCCATCAAATTTTCAACCACTCCATAAAATTTCGACCTTCTTGATATTCTACCTTATAGTTACTTATTTTCGTGGAAACTTAATTTCGCGAAAATGGAAGGCAGGTTTCGAGAGCCTTGACAAAAAATGCATATTCTAAAAGGAACTAAGTTTCGCTAAAAAATTGTCGAAAGAATGATATACAAAAAAAAAATTAAATGAGTCCAAAACAGGATTAATAGGCCTGCGTAGGAAACCAGTTACGTGTTTCAACCTTCTTCTTAGTTTGGACCCCACGAATACATCTTAAAGCGGACACTAGTGTACAAAATCGGACACGAATGTCTCAAATCAGACATTAGTGTCACAAGTTGGACATGTCCAAAAATCGGACACTAGTGTCAAAAATCGCACACTCGTGCCCAAAATTGGACCCATAAGTAAAAAATCGGACATTGATATTCAAAATCGGACACGAGTGTCTAAAATCAGAAACTAGTGTCCAAAATCGGACATTCGTGCCCAGAATTGGACACCAGTGACTAAAATCGGACAATGGTCTCTAAAATCGGACACTTATTTCTAAAGTCGGAGTCTAGCGTTTAAAGTGGGACACTAATATTTAAAATTGGATACTAGTGTCTGAAATTAGACACTAGTTTCTAAAATTAGCAATTAGTGTCTAAAATCGGACACTAGTTTCTAGAATCGGATACTAGGGTCTAGAATGGACACTAGTGTCTAAAATCAGACCCAATATTGGCGCCTTCAGATTTTCACGAAAATATATATACGTGGAAGTGAGTAACTGAAGTCTGTTCTCTAGAGTTGGAAAGCGGGTCCTTTTCGGGGGAAGAGTATTATTCAATTTATTTGTGCATTTGGCAAAATACGTTTGTATTGAGCGAACGGGATGGGAGGTTCTAAGGAAGGATTAGCTGGCGGGCCAAGTATCCTGCCCGGGAATCTCGAGATGAAGAGATGAAAAAGTGGCATTTATGGATATTTGTTTTGGTAAACGGCATGGCCGGTCACAAATCCACGCAGATTACATAATTGTAAGATCTCATGTTTATTCACTCCAAAAATAATCTAGTATTAAATACGTCACTTTTTGGGTAACCAAGTGATCTACTCATTTTCTTTTTAAACTAAGAGACTAACTAGACGATTCCACTTTGCGTGGAAAATTTTATACCCTCCAAAAATTGTAGTACCAGTTCAGTTCTTGTTCCGTATCATTTAGACAGTACTGTAATTACTTCGCTACAGTTTAAGAAACATTAAGTAACTACGCAAAGGTTTAGTAGAAAATACGAAGGATGTATTTTTTTGCTACAAGTAAAGTATTGAGCCATCTTCGAAAAAACAATTATCTTTTCCACATTTTTGTCTCCAGGGTTTCGGGCTATAATTGAAACTTGGAAAATCTGTGAAATAAAAAAATGAGATCATCGAAATTAGTAGATTCGAGCGCTACCTTTTTATGCCGGATTGCCTCTGTACTTCAGACAAATAGCCGTCTCCTCGCCCCAATCCTTTTGCAGATCTCAGGCGAGAGAGACGAACTACTCCTCGGAGGATTACAGCGAAAAGACGACTGACTCTTCAGACAATAAAATGATTTGAAAGAAACTGACGCCGATTTGCTGTCCGCAAGAGAATTTGTCAGTCCAAGACGTCGCTGCAAAGGCAAACACACACCAGATAACCTGAGATATATGATAAAGTAATGTTCTTGGAATGTAATCGATGTACAGAATTAAAACCCAAATTTGTTACTTAGCTGTCCACCTAAAACAGGTCAAAACAAACACTTTTACTTTTGTACATTCGTTTCCAGACCCTTTCCCAGGCTCTTTTTTCTCTTTCAGTTTTTGAGGGCAAAACCGTGGGAACTCAAGGTGTCCCCTTAATAAATATTTTTCCATATGTTTCACTGTGTTTATAAAAGCGCACATGGACTAGACGAAGGTACGCTGTTTGACCTTCATAATCATCAGTGACAATGACAAAAAGTAGACCCGTCGTTTAATGTTTAAACCTGACTTGGAGCAAATTAGTAGAAAATTTGTTCCCAAAGACTTACCATGTCCACATCCATTGTTTTGTTTACCGAAAAGTCTAAAATCGTCTTCTGTAGGAGTCCTGGAAAACATGAAAGGGTCGTTTCGATTAAGTTCATTCTTTTGAAATCCTATCGGAATATCAAAACTACATCAAAATTTGGTCACGCCCATCAAAAAATGCTCCCTTTATTTTATTGTCTGCCAACAACAAAATTACCAATCGTTTTCGTAGAAATAGTCTACTTCATCCAGGGATATGTCTTGTCCTTCGCCAATCTAGAAAAAAATGTATAACAACCACAATTGATGAAATCAAAGGAATACAGTTTCGTGCCTACCAAAATATAAGAAACTGAATGTAGGAATCGTCGGAGAAAACACAGAAATGATAAAGCGTTTCTTTCTTTGTTTTTTTTAGTTTCCTACGTCCAAAATCAAAGTTATCGCAACGGCCAATTAGAACAAAGAATGACGTCATGCCAATAAGAACTCAACACAGAAACAATCAAGCTGCTTAACCTAAAGCGCGGGAAAACGGAAGCGAACGAGACGCAAATAGTTTTAATTATGCATCTGATTGATTAGAGAGAATGGTGCTAGCTTTCTAGATCAACCACTGAGTGAAGCAAAACAAAACGGAAGTAATGGCAAATGTCCACACTTCATGAAAAACTGCTCTTTTAGATGGTATCCGTACCGTACCGAGATCTGCCACATGAGTTTGATATCACAGCGAGCTCTCATTTCCCAGTTTAACCGGTCCTAGAGGAAGGAAAAAGAGAATTAACAGAAATTGCAGCAGATGAAAGGAATAAACTGAAAAGTCTTCAATAATTTCGGTCATCACACTGAACTAAAGCAGGAAACGATCGGAGTAAACCTCAGTCGTCAGCCGTTACAAATAAACCTAATATTGGCTTGAGTCCTTTCAAGCACAGTGGCAGAGCATCGAAGCACGAAATCTGAAGATCAAAGCTTTGATTCCTCGGAATGGATCTACGCCCGTGGAAAATGATTAAAATATTTCTTCATTGTGGGATCATATTTCTGTTTTTGATAATCATCACAAGGGTGAACCAGTACAACACCACACGCTCCATGGCGTCAGGGGCGTTGCTAGGGACGTCGTGCGTTTCCTGTGACCCCTATTATATCAGATTGTGAAGACACACGAATCGGAAGAATCTGAAGCCGAGAACATATTATTATCCAAATGCACTAAGTAGAGGACAAATATCATGAGATATTTGGACAGTGCGCATGAAACAGCAGTTGATACTGAATAACTTAATATACGTTTTGGTGTGTAGTATCGCTGAGTACTTTCACTCGTTATAGCCCTGTGGGTTCGTCAAAATACGGTACAACTCTCAAATATATTCAGCGATACTACACACTAAACCGTCTGACAAGATACATGTATTTACTCGAATAAGCACTGCTCCCGAATAACGTCTCTCTTGAATAAGGGTCGCATTTGGGACATAAAAAAATGTTAATAGGCTCCGCCCGGCCCTGAATAAGCGCCGCATTTTGGACAAAAAAACCTTGATGGGCTCTGCTTCCGAATAGAGTTGAGTGAAGACGCCTCCGCAATTGAAAAGTGCCGGAGGGAACGAATGTGACAGTTAAAAAAATGCCTCTGTCAGTTGCTGCAAAAAGTCCGCACAAATAGGAAATGGACCTTTTAATTTCGAGAAAACATTTCGCTGTCGTGTCCAATTTTTGAATGAGCACCGCCCTCAGAAAAGCGCCGACCTCGAATAGCGCCGCATTTGAGGCGAAGAAAATTAGGAAAAGCGCCGTGGTGCTCATTCGAATTAATAAGGTAACCTTGTTATTTATTTATTGATCCCCATTGCCGGTGGATTAGTGCCATAGGCTTCCTCGCGTAAGATGCGCGGAAATTCGTAACACTGCGGACCCCAGTTCCCCAATCATTGTACTCACAACACTGTTTTTCCTGCTCCGTTTCGATTTCTTTCGTTTCTTCTCCTTTGCGGATGGTGGCTTGGTTTCTCCGCGATTCTGAGCGCCTGAAAGTCTTTTTAAACAGAGTAAACGTGTACAAGGCAAGGCTTTCGTCAGATGACAAAATATGAGAACTAATGTCCAACTGAGGAAACTGAAAAACTAGCAAGAGCAAATACGTTGCTTCAGTATCATATACCTTGAGGAGGTGTGTTCTGTTACAACAGGAAATTACATGCATTGCAAGTTGTATAAATTATATGGGGTACAAATTGTATACAAGATTCAAAATTGGACAACAGGATGGAAGACGAAAGAAAAAGGAAATTACATTGCAATTTGTATAAATTATATGTGGTACAAAAGGACCCTTTCAAGGTTAACGCCGCCATTTTGCCGGGGTGCAAAACGGCTGGGGCGAGCGCAAAATGTACAGTGAATGTATGGAAAAAGTCGGGAGATTGATGCTCGATAATTTGAGGAAGGTTGACATTCTGCAATTTCTATGAATTACCATACTAACTATGGAATTACGAAATAAAGATACCAAGCAAAAGATGTTGCCGATTAAACGTGAAGGGTTTCAGGCTCGCTGAGAAGTGAGAAATCTTATTTTTAGTTTTTCATACAAATGCTTTTAAATTTTCCCGGAAACGGCGGTTTGGTTTTAGAGACAAATATATGGAAAATCAAAATCTTAATTTGCGGCTTTTTTCACGAGACTTCGTTTCTCAAATTTGATCGGGAAACTGGTAATTCTGGTATCTTTAGTTTGTAATCCATAGAAATTGCACGATGTCAACCTTCCTCAAATTATCGAGCATCATTTTCTCAACTTTTCCCATACATTCACTGTACATTTTGCGTTCGCCCCAGCAGTTTTGCAACCCCGGCAAAATGACGGCGTTAACCTTGATAGGGTCTATTGTACACAAGACTCAAAGTAGGACGAATGGACGGAAGACGAAAAAAAGGAAATTACATTGCAATTTGTATAAATTAAATGTGGTACAAATTGTATACAAGACTCAAAAAATAGGACGACGGGACGGAAGACGTAAAAAAAAAAGGAAATCAAGTGGTTTATCGTGGATTTGTATTTAATTGAGCTTACTCACCATTAATCGAGAAAAATGGTTAAAAGTTTGCACACTAAAAACACCTTCAGATCTTGTCCGTTTAGCTTCACAAACCTTTCCTTAGTGCATCAGTCATCCTTAAACGAAACAGCTGCTTGTTTTAAACGATGAACTTGCCAGTTAAAGGAACAATGTTTTCGTGCGTCACCCATGATTCAATTTCCTAGCACTCGTCAACTTCTGCGCATCCAAGCGCGCGTTCGGAACTTAACGTATTTGATACCGTTAATTTCGTTCAAACGTAACAACAGAGAACTCTCGCATTGGTCTTCAAGGGGACCACAGTTACAATCAACCTCACTAGGAAAGATAAACGTGATGTACATTTAGTAGATTAAGACTTAAGGGGGGTAACTTGAAAGTAGTTTTAATAACGGAAATATTCAGGACGTTTTGTAAACGGCACGCGCTTCCAGAGTGAATGTAAACAAATGCGCGCGCTCCGGCGAAATTTACCAACCAGCAGTCTGTAATCCAGTCCAGAATTTAATTGTCACACATTAAAAAGCATAACTGTAGACGTTCCCTAATAATATCCTCGCTTGAAATGAAAAAAAGATGGCATGTTAGGCGTGGTCTAAGACTACAATAAGTTCTGCTGTGGGACAAAATTCTGGAAATGTTTTGGACGATAAACCTGCAAAACCAACGAGAGTACATGTCAGAAGTCGTCTTGGGATGCCCTCTGCTTAGAGTGATCTTCTCGATCCGCCCTCCTGGACACAAGTTTACAAACAGAATAGGAACTCGTGTGGATTAGCAAATAAGGAAATGTGGATGGCGTAAATACATTAGAGGCTTGAACAGACAATTCAAAGAACGCCATAGGAGCAACCACCGCTGGTTGCCTGTGGTATTTGAAGCTTCTTGTACGAATGTGAACGTACATAATGTGAATCAATATGTGGAGCCTACAAAATAATTAATCTTTGATGTATTTCCGGTGAGATAGCAGGTGCCAATGCAAGTCTACAATCGCGCAAAATGATTTGGTTGCCGTCAGGCGCGGATCCAGGAATTTTTAAAAGGGAGGGGTCTAAACTTTGATATAGAAAATGCACCGATTTTTAAATTTTTTTTTTTTTACACCAGTGCGTAAATAAACAAAATACCTTGAGGTGAGTTAATGTTTGATACTTTCAGTCGAGCACTGACATGCGATGCTGTCGTTTGAAGAATTGCGATTTCAGTATGACCCCGGAGGATCTGGACCCTCCCCTGAATCCGTCACTGCCCTTCCCAGTACCTCGCGCCAGAAATCCCGGCTTCCAAAAAACTTTAAATGAAGAGGCCAAAATGAGACACAAATACAGCCACTCTGCTTTCCTGGCAAGTACTTTTATTCACTAAAAATTACAATTCTGAAGAGAACTCAACCTAACCATAGTAATCCGTGCGCACAAACACATCTTGTTTTCCTCTAAGCAAATCAAATGGCAGCAATGCAACAATCTTAAGTCAGCAAGACTAAGATCATTACGTTACCCGAATTTGAGACACTCCTTGGCCCGAGTCAAAAGGTCTAATTCAGACTGCGCATAGATGATGTGTTCCACGAAGCAGTTGATTGGTCGTATCACGCAACACACTCGCGGAACAAGGCCAACCTAGGGCTGCATACGCACGGGGAAAAGTACCTGTATACATAATTCCACAAGATGACAACATTACCCACCCTAAAAAGAAATCCTATAATAAAACTGCGTTGAAATGATAAAGTGTAATCAACCCGTAAAGACGGAACAAAGAAAGAAAAACTAGTCTTTGGACAAAGACCGAATAATTGCTTTGAACGATGGAAATAGCACCTTCCCTAGAAACCAGTCCATTTTACTCGAATTAAAAAGAAAAAAAAAGGAAACAAAAAGAAACGCTCGAGACGGGAGAAATGCGAAAACTGAAAAAGAACCATTGTAACGAATCGGACTGCTCCAAAACGGAATAATTCTCAGGATTTCAGCGAGATGGAAAGCGCTGAATTTTGTTCCTTACCTGCAAGAAATAATACTCTTTCTTCGGTCTTCGGTAATTCTTCAAATCGCTGGTTTTCACGATTCGCCTGTATTTTGCATTTTTCTTTCAACAGAAAATCTTCATTTTACTTCTCGCGCGTTTGGCCAATTTTCCGTTTCTTTGAGGCATTTATCAGGAAGTATCTTCCTTTCTTCATTCTTCTTCAACTTCATTTTCTTCGCAAATTTTTCTTTCTTTCTCTTCCCACAACCTGGCTTCTTTCTTCAAAACTTCCCCTCTTTCTAACTTCGTTCTTTCTACGAATCGATCTTCGCTTTCTTTTCCCTTCTTTTCCCCAATCTTCCCATTTCAGCTTCATTTTCTCCCATGTTTTCTAACTGAATTTATACGCTTCTATCTTCGATAATTCTTCTGTCTTGCACTACTTGCAAATTTCGCGATTGGAGTCTTCGCTCTTCGTTTTTCATGCTTGTTTCTACCCTGTCGCAAAACAGAACCAAGTTAACATCGACAAGCGAACTAAACAGTGCACTTTATTCCACTACAAATTTTAAAAATGAGTAAAATACCGCTTAAAGCCTTAGAAAGTCAACCCAAAAAGTGGCACAGCTTGACCAAATACTTGTGAAAAAAAACTTGAACACTTTCAGAATCAAAACACTTTGGTGAAATTAAGGCGAAGCTATCTGCTTAGGTTAACCAATCGAAAAAGTTTTCGAACGAAATGTCCATCTATGACAGAATGCTGTTGAAGCTAACTTGTAAACGTATCATTTCTAAGGTGCGTTTGGAGCGCGTCTTCGAAGGGTTCGATGAGCCTAGAATGCGTCTAAATGCGTTTGATGTGCGTTCGAAAGGTGTCTTGAAATGAGAGGTAAAATATGTTCGTTCTACGACAGATCTCACATGTTAACAATGACGCAATCTTGCTGGATATCAGAATTACATGAGCGATAGCAAACTTGAACGAAGAATCACTTCACACTTGCGTCCTCTTCCAGTACTTTTCAAGATAGCTATGATGTCACTAAACAATTTGATTAACAAAGTTAAGTTAAAAAATCTACAAAATAAATTCCTACAAAGACTTGGATCACAATTGCTCGACGTGCCTTCAGCGTAATGCACAAGAACAGTACATAAAACAACATTTTCTGGTGTGACTATCACTTAAAGCTTTTTCAATTCTCGACTATCACCCTACAGAAACGGCCACATGAAAAGCAGCGCGTAACAAAGCAGTTCGTGATACTAACGAATGGTGACTAAAAGGGACGACGCATATCCTACATATATCCTACATAAATTTTCCGGTCTAAAGAAAGTCATGTCTGCCTAAGTTATATTTTACATCGCGTCTAACAGAGTGTAAGCCCACAAGCATACAGGCTTTGTCCACACAATATCACTCAGCTTGCATCACTCGATTCAGTAACGACCTGTGGAGCACAAAAGCTATCAGTCAGAATAAAATTCAAAGCTAATGAAACACTGGCCTGTTTCCAGTCAAAACTCTCACCAATTTTCACCCAAGATCAAGAAATCCATTCTCCATAATGTCCTCTATACATATATTGTAAATATAGCTCTGAGAATTTTATATAAGTCTAACAAAATTACTCACTAATTTTTTTTCTTCTCGCTACACTTCTTGAAGATGTATTTATCAATTCTGTAAGAAAAGATAATTCTCCAACCTGTGATGCCTCGTAAACACCCTGGGATGCCTAAAATATATGTCTCCCCTGGTCAACTGTCATTTTTTTTTTTATTCAAAGATACTTTTTCATGCCTCAAAATGTCACGATACTGCCACTTAAATTCACCCTGGAAGAAATTTGTTACCCAAACTTACCCCGTGGTGAATTGGACCTGGAGCGATATCCTCCACTACTATAGTAATCTCTATGACGGTGACTGTCCCTTGAATAATATTCTCTGTCCCGAGAATAGTCGTCATAGGTACTCTTGCGATAATTTCGGTGCCTTGAAAAAAATTTAGGGAATATATAAGTAAGGAGCTGGTAAAACTGGAAAATCTCTGATAGACCCCTGGAGTTGTTGCCCCTTACATTATGGTACATTGTTGCATTTGTTATTATTTTTTGTTTTGTTGTAAGATAAACTTACTACTTTTTGAAAATGGTGAAATATGAACAAATGAACTCACTGTGTTGCTTTCCCCATATAAACTCCTGGTGTAGGTGTGTGGGCTCTTTTAGTAATGGAGTAGTCAACACGGATACGCCGACTGTCAATTTCTAAACCATTTGTGCTCTGCTTTGCCTGTGGAAAAAAAAAAAGGAGTGATCTCATCCACAAGGAGTCATCTTGGTAAGCTGTTGAACTGTTTTGAAGAAAGCACCACCATTACAGAAAAGAAATTACAGTTTAGCTATAAAAAGGTGCGATTCATTATTTAATGAACTCTTCTGTTGAATAGGTAATCAGATTGAAAGAATCTCTTGTGACTTCAAAGTGAAAGCGTCAAAGACACTGCAACAGTTCGTGAACCAACCTCTCTTGCATCATCACTACTTTCATAGTAGACAAATCCAAAGCCCCTCGACCTCCCAGTCTGTCAAAATTAAACAGAGCAGCATAGAATTGTACTTGTGTGTGTAAGAAAAAGAAAACCTTTACTTATTTTACACACTGTATGGGGATTCTGTGGACATTCAACAAAAGTTACAACAGTAGTTTTTAACCATTTGTTTTGTTGGACTCACTTTTCTCTTTTTTTAAAACCTCACTCTTTCAGCAGCTCAAACATTTTTATTGGGAGTGCATTGTTCACAGCCTCTATGTTAGTTCTCATAAGAAAATACAGTAAATGCATGTTCTGAACTGATAAGGTGGCTGAATTTAATTATGCTTGGGCAGCGAGCCTTCTCTGGGTGTCTGGGGCATGCTTGAAATTTACTACTCTCTTGAGACCTGATTTCCAGCGTTTCAGGACATATTTGAGTAACTTTTTTGGGCCAGACATTTCTGTTCCAATCAGTTCAAAAATCCTTATTGTCTTTGATCACAATTCACAAAGTACCAGTGCAAAATGGTCTGACAATGGCCTACCACCTCCTGCTGACATCCCTACCCTTACTTGAAAGAGATCAAAGTTCCCTACCTGACGATCATATACAATCTGGATACTCTCAACACTGCCGTACTTCTCAAAGTACTGTCTCAAATCTCTTTCAGTTGTGTACAGGCTTAATCCAAAAATTCCAAGACAGTTACTGGTTTCTGGGTTATCCTAAAAAGGAAACAATAACAGCATTAGCAAAAAAAAAAAAAAAAGGCATTTAGGAAAATATATCACCTAAGTTTTAATGTGTACTGGGACACGTGACACTTGCTATAATAATTCACCTGACTTGTTTTGAGGGTTGATAGCATTTTTAAAATTGTAAGAAATAGACAATTTTTTTGAGAGACATGTTTTGGCATGCTTATGCCATCTTCAATCAATGAGTAACTGAACGTGAGTAATTATATAGCATACAAGTAGATGAATAAAATATTTACCGTATGATATAATACAAAAGCGGGTACTAATTACAACGTGACACCAAACATCAAAGGTGTGAACTAAAATGCTAGAAAAGTGTTATAATGCTGTAATTGATACTAGCTCAGCACTGTCCTATCTCTTTACACCCTAACATCAGTATGCACATTCTCCACACATTTCCTATGATGGCAACCTGGAGATTTTGTTGAACAATCATCAAAGTGCTGATCATTTCCTTTTATTCTCCTGACCTCAAAGTTTGATTCAGGAGCGGTACTGTAAGGAGAAATCAAGTGCTAGTCACTCTTGGGGTCAAAGGGTTCAATTAACTTACTGTCACAAGAAAAAAATGCTAAAATTGACATCAGAATGTAATTTGCTGGCAGGTCTCTTTTGTTCATAGCAGCAAAATACAGTTTATTCAAGGAGATGGTCACACAGAGTTTCGGACCTCCCTCCCAGTGAAAAGGTGTTTGGAACCCTAATTTAGCAAAATAGGAGGGAGTCCAGGGTCTGAAATTAACTATTTCCAAAGGGAGCCAACCGGGGACTAACCTTAAAAATTTTGGTCACCAGATGGATGGGTTTGGTCGCCAAAAACAAGTGTTTTTTTTTTTTTTGGTTTCTTGCCTGCCATGCCACGATCACGGCTACGCCGCTAAATTTGCAGCAAACTAAAGAAAACGTAATCCCTCTGGAACCCATGGTATAACTTAGCTTAATTTATGGTAAAAGCACAAAATTTAACCTTTCAACAAAATGTTTTCATTTGACGCAATTACATACTTCACAAAAGCCGTGTAACGGTAACAGAGTCCTAAATATCAATGGGTGTGTTTGTCCGTTCGAGGAATGTTCTTGTGAAGGCTTCAGATATCTTTCTCTTATTATTTCCATTTAGTTGGAATTATGCTGGTACCCTGTTAAGTTCTGCGTATAAGACATATGGGCCCTCTTTCTATACCTAGATTCAACTAAGAGTGCTTCGCCAAAATGGAATGAAAACGCAACAATGATGAATATGCTAGTGCCAGGCCCTCACACTCTTATTGCTCGAACCAGTCCCCGCCTAAGTTGATGGCCACGATAAAAAATACTGAGATAATAGAGACACTTTTGTTCTTTTTGTACTGGCTAAAATACAATCGAACATTTATCTAAGTTGCTGAAACATTTCAGAGCGGATGTTTCATCTCCTGAGAGCAGCAAATCACGAAATGATCGCAAAGAGGTGATAGCCATCTTTCGCACATGTAGTACTTGCTAAGACAACACCACAACTTGTATTTCAGAACTGGAATTTACAGGTATTTAAGTAAAGTATTAAGGACTAAGTGCATGTGATTCCGCTGATGCTTTCGATCTCGTCATGATTTCACCATGTCACGTTTTCGTCCGCGATATCCGTATTGGGAGAAGCCGCTGAAACAATATGGCGCCGGGTAAATACAGTGGTCGTGAAATCGTCGCTTCGTTTTACTGCAATTATCCACGGGAGCTTTTATTTTTCTTTAAAAAAAAAGCCCTTTTACCTTGGAATTTCAAATGCCCAGGGGACAAAAGGTTAGTCGCCTGCTGGCGACCAATTCTAAAATTCTGGTCACCAACACCTAATTTTTGGTCACATTGGCAACCAGTCAGTTGCAATTTCGGACCCTGGGGTCCAGGACGACTCAAGAGTTACAAATCCTAAAGCTGTCCTTGTAAGAACTCAACAATCAAAAGCAAAACTTTTCTGGGGAAAAGCATGAAAAAGAGTTTACCCGGCTTCCAACATGACGCTTCCTTGAGGAGAGAGGTGAAACACTCCTTGATCTAGGATTCAAAAGGGAAGATGCTTTGTCAGAAATAAATGAACAATCTCTGCTTCAAAGGCACTTTAAACATATTTTCCAACATTTATCTCATAATGAAAAACTTCAAAAAAAGGAATTAAGAATTCTTTGCGAGTTAGGCTGAACCAAATTCAAAGTCAAACTTGGTCACCATCAATCTACCCTTGAGTGGAGCTCACATTGATGGATGCTCACATTGATCTGATTTATTCTCTAAAAAATCTACTGATAGCCTCCTTGAACTCAAGTTATTTTTCTGAAGAGTATAATGTACTGTACCAGTTACCTTTTGTGCCTGTAGTGATAGGGACTGTGAGAGTGAGATCTGGACTTTCTCTTTTTCCTAGTGTGAGAACGGGATCTGGACCTGCTGCGAGAAGGCGAGCGGCGTCTACGACGTGAACGGCTACGACTGCGTGACCTCGATTGACCTCTTGAGTAATGTGACCCAGAGCGCGATCTCGATCGTGAACGTGATGCTGAATGGGATCTTGAACGAGATCTGGAACGAGATTTTGAGCGAGATCTGGAGCGTGAAGCTGATCTTGAGCCAGCACCATTGTAGTCAGCACCTAGCTCATCCTCTCTGTCACTTACATCCTGTTGAACACAGCACATCGTTTAAAATATAATCATAACATGACAACAGAATCATGAAGAATGATTGTGGTTTCTCACTGCAGTTCAATACTCAAAGAATGATATGTGATCCTTTATCTCTCCCAAAAAGGAATTGCAATGTTTTAGTGGGTCACTACTTGTATGCTCCAGGCAATGAGTTAATCAATTGAACATTGCCTTTTGATGCACAATGCTCAGTTGTTAAAAACCAATCACAGCTCAGACACCTGAACACTGAAATCAAATTGCAGAGCACAATGAAAATACTAAACCAAAAATAAGCTTAAACCTCTCTTAACTTTATAATCCCTTAAAGTGACTTGCATTAAATTTGTCATTACAGTTGGAATTACCCCTGAGACAAACATCAAGAATAAGGGAAATGATCACTGAATAATGAAGCTCTTGATAGTCAAACAAATTCTCCCTTCTCAGGGCTGTGGTCTAGCGACACCCAATGGCCCCTGGTGCCTTACTTTTGCTCTTGGGCGACTCAGGAATCTTAGTTTTTTCATAAAAAGCATATGCTGGGCACCCTGAATTTCAGTTTCAGAGCACTGGGCTCCCTTCAATTTTTCCTACAGTACAGCCTTGCTTCTGGTACAGTAGGAAATGTTTAGATAATAATAATAATAATAATAATAATAAGAATATTTTGCATAATGATGCTTGGAGTACCAATTAGTTGGGCAACGGTGACTGCATGACGCCTTAACAGCCAGGGGCTTACTTTTAATTCTTATATCACTAGCTAGCACACACTCACTGCACTGTTTTTTGGCGCATATAGCACAAACACAGCGCATATCTGCTGAAGATGGGCTGTACTACCCTTTGGAGATCAGACATTTAGATTTAGATTTAAACAATTTCGTTGTCTATGCATGTGGAATTGATTTGTAAGTTCACATACATGCAAGCTCCCACAGAAAAATATAAACACTGAGTCACATTTCATTGAACCGAAGACAGGCTCAAACTACATGTTCGTAGAGTGAGGCAGTGGATTTAAGCAAATACATGCAGAATTAAGAAAAATGCAGTTCATTCAAAGTACACGAGGGACGAGATTTAACAAGCTATTCAAATTACTCAAGCGACTTGTTTATGACTAACTAACTCGACCATGCTAACACTCTACCTACCTTTTCTTCGGATCCATCTCTATCATCAACATCACTCATGATGGCTTAAAGATGATTTTTATGACAAATATTTGCTAGAACTTCCTAACACAGTTTCAACCAAATTGCACGGAAAGCAGATGGCGGGACCGTGGACAAGCTATCCCAGCATTCTTAGAAAACAGACAACCCGACGATGGCCGAAGTTGTCCGAGGGAGTTACGGCAAATTATGGCCATAAAAACATCTATCTCTTTTCATTTTAGTAGCTTTTACTAAACAAGTAGTCCACAGCCATGCAAATTTTTGTACTGACACATTTATTCCTTATCAAGTGAAAAGAAAACGGGCGAATTTAACAAAGTTAAGGACAAAAGCGGTTTGAGCCCCTTGCGGTCCCTGTCGTGTAAGGTCCACCCCGAGGGTGTCCGAGCACGCCAAGTACATGGAAAAGTAGCCATCATGGCTAATGCATCAGGAGGGTCCATTGAACTGGCCTCGTTGATGAGGACAAATAAAGTCGAGGCACTTCACGCCACTGTTAGTTGTGGACCTACCAGGTTTCTTGTTTGGACACGGCTGCCTGAAGACAGTTCTACTTGGATTTTGAAGTAAGTTTCACAGTCAATTCTACGATTTCTTTTTTCCGCGCAATTTAGGGGAACTTAGGATAAACGAAAGTTTTTTATTTATCATTTGGGTACATGAGAGCATAATTTGATCTCATGTTTGTGAGCTGTTAAAATATTATTATGCATCCATAGTTTCGTTCGTTTGCAAAATCTTAGTCTTAAGGCGGCGTAATTAAAGTATAGGACTAGAACATTTGTTTTCGATTTTATATCGGCCTTCAGCAACCCAAGAGCTGCAGGACGATTCTCGCCAAAATTTCAGATTTCTTTCTTAGTGGGTCAGAATCCGGTGTAAAAAAACCATCCAAGTTTCCCTTCAAATGATAGGTAGATTTAAAGGATGAGGGCGTAAACATTTCGAGGTATTTGTCATCTTCGTGGCATAATTATCATTATAATTGTGGTCATCTTGACGTTTATCTTAGCCAGAATTTAGAAGGCAGAGAAAGGAATGAGGCAAAATCTAGTTAGATAGATAGATACATAAGATCTTTATTGACTTGTAAAAAATAAAAGAAACACGTCCAGAGACAAAACGTCTGGACTTACAATTTCCTACATGTATATCAATTCATTATGTAAATGCAAGACTAAGTGGCTACACAAATTCGAAAAGACATCTATTAAAAAAGTAACGTTAAAAACGTTCGGTTCTGACTAGAGGCAGGATATAATTATGTCCTCTTTTCCTGAGGCTCCTGAGGCTATGTTTCATTGTTTCTATGTTTCATTGTCTTTGCCAGCAACACCATCATCATCATTATCATCACTGCATCTTCACATTGACAGGCTCAGGTTTGCAGTCCATGATCAGTTGGTACCAAATGTTTCTAGCTGGAGAGGGAATCACAGACTGGAATATCCAATACATTAAATATTTCTTAATGAAATGACCAGATAATTGCTCCACTTGGGGTGTCCATGATGCACATATATTGCCCCAGCAAGGACTATTTTTGCACCATGTAAAGGCAAACTGCATAAGTCCAATTCTTTTTTACTGATATATAGAGAGAATGATGAGATGGTGCATGACAGCATTGAAGAGACAATGAAATATCACAGAAAACCTTTATTAGAAATGTTTTTCTTTTATTGAGTATATAATGATAACAGCTGTTGTTGTTGTTCTTTTTGTTTTTTTTTTCTGTTTACTTAGTGCCAGTGATGGAGTCAATGTCTGGCATTCACAACTGGACTTAGAGCAATTGGATTCTCATGTAAGGGTCATGTTTGAGCAATTTCCAATGAACTTCCAGAAGTATTTTCCTTGCTCTCACCAGCTGTTGTGATTTCTTTGGGTTTAGTTTAACAACATTCCACCATAATATAAAGCAAAGTTTATCCAATCAGCAGCTGAAATACAAGTATTTCTGTGCATAGAATACCAAGTATTGTTTTGTAGTGCATCCATTTTCTGGTGTATCATTTAAATTTGAATCTAGATTCATATCTCTGTTAGACTTACTTTGAAAAATCTCATTGGTCAAGAGCATTCAATCAATACACAATAGCTTGCAAAGTTGACATGATAGATGCATTATCTTCAGGTGATATTGCGTTCATCATGTCAAGTTCAACATCTGCTTAGTTTACAAGCCCTTCATCCATGTAGTGTTTTTAAACTACTCCAAACTCATAGAAGTGTCTTCTTTTGGAGATTGTTTAAAAATGTATAATAATACAATAACTGAAATCGGTTTTTGCATGATATCATGAATTATCAAACCTTCAGTCTGTATTTTCTGCCCCAGCCTTCAGCTTTGACAGATAACTCAGACCTCAGTTTTGAAAATTTATTATATCATGCTTAACCACATCAAATAACTGATTAATTTTTGCAGAGAGAGCTGACAGAAATTGACAAATATGAAGCCTACTTTTCAATGGTCAGGTAATGTCATTTTGCCTTTTGTAGATAAATGAAAATTTGTGTAATTACATTATTCATTTGCTTCTTGTCACATATTGTACCCCTCTCAAATAGTCTTACTTAATCCTGCAGTAGTCAGCCAATGGCAGTTTTGATTAGTTGAGATATTGGTAAAGGTGAGCAGGCCACTGTTTCTCTCATCCAGAGATGTACTTGTATATAAAATCTGTGAACCTTTTAGCTCCCAGAAGTGATTAATATGTAACTTCTCCCTACCATATATTCATGCATTATCAAACAAACAGGTAATGAGAATACTCTACAGGGGCGCATCCAGGATTTTTTTCAGGAGGGGGTGCACCACTAAAGAATGGCGTAACTGACTGGTGACTGGACATAAACAAATTGTAATAGCAAATACGAAGAAGGCTTTTGCATAGGCAATAACATAATATAAACTGCTGAGAATACATATCAAATGATACAGTAGATGTATTAGAAAGCCGCAGGTCATCTCTGGGGGGGAGAGGTGCACACCCCATGCACCCTCCCCCTAGGCAATAACATAATATTAACTGCTGAGAATACATATCAAATGATACAGTAGATGTATTAGAAAGCCGCAGGTCATCTCCGCGGGGGAGGGGTGCACACCCCATGCACCCTCCCCCTAGGCAATAACATAATATTAACTGCTGAGAATACATATCAAATGATACAGTAGATGTATTAGAAAGCCGCAGGTCATCTCGGGGGGGGGGGGGTGCACACCCCCTGCACCCCCCTAGATCCGTCCCTGCCCTAACTTAACAGTTCAAAGTTATCATCTTGATCTAACACCAAATCCTCATTACTAATGTGTAAGGAAATGTGCAGCAGCTAGAGGGGAGAAGTAACAATCAGATCTTGGGAATTAAAGGGTTGAGAGGTCTATGCCTTAATTGTTGTTCTATCTGGAGACTGAAAACAAAATGTTTAATCATCAATTGGTGCCCTTGCAAAGAAGCACATTTCAGATCAGGAGAGAACCTTGAAAGGGGAGTACCTAGCATGGCCTCCAGGGAGATAGCAGTTATTCTGATTGCTTTAGGCCAACGAAACCAGGAGACACCTTGGCTCTGTGTTCCAGATTTACTTGTTGGTTTGTAACTGTTGTAACAACTGATCTTGATGATACTGTAATCTTTTGTGATACTAGGTCTGGGTTTCAAAATGGCTCCTTATCTTTGGCACAGTTTCCTGACAAAGTAATTATAACAGTTGGTGAGGGTATTCCATCTCTGAGCTATGACCTCTTTGAAGCAAAGGCCATTGAAAAGAAGACAGAGTTGCAATTGATTCTCTTCAGATTAGCTGATAAAGTAACTGAACTGACTCAAGAACTTAAAGGTAATTAAAATTAATTTATAACTAAATAAGGTACCATATTATGCATAATAGACATAAGGGGATTTGGACTGCAACAGGACTGAAAAAAAGAATTCCTGATTCATTTTTCATAACACATCTATGAGTCTCATCCATTACATTTCATTGTCTACTGATACATCTACTATAAATTCTTTCTTTTTTTTTTTTTTTCAGCATCTTCTGATTCACTGGAAAGACTAAAGGCTCAAAAGGTATCCATCTGTGCCTTCTCTTTCCTTTCAGAGATAAGTTACCGAACCTCACCTTTCTCCCCTCTGATTTATTGCTTGTGTGCCTTGCGCTTGCCTCTGTGCCTTTACACTGTTAATCCAAGCAGAAAATACTTGATTTGTGAGAGCTATCAGTGAAAGGGAAAATATTTTGCTCTTGGTCTTGATATACATGTACAGACCGAGTGCAGCAAGGACTGAGCCAGACATATTGCCATCCAGCCCTTCCACTCAGTCAGTAGGTACATGTTATTAACCAGACCAATCTGCTCTGGGGCTAGGATTTTTTTCTATTACACTAAAAATTATTTCATCTTTACATGCTCACTTTGGAGGTTGGTTGGCCGCATCTTGATATGCCTTAATGTGACAGCGTGATGCTGTTAGTGAGTTTTCGCAGGTGCTTACCAATACTTGGCTGTGTGGGCGCGCGATGCGGTTCCAGTCGAGGCCCACAAATTGACCCTTGCTCACCATAGAGTCTCCAGTAGCTCAGCAGTTAGAGCATCCGACTAGATCACGGAGGGTTGTGGGTTCAAGTCCCATCTGGGGCTAGGATTTTTTTCTATTACACTAAAAATTGTTTAATCTGCTCTTTATTTTTCTTAACATAGGAAGGGGCTCCTGGTGGATTATCAACATTCGGTAAGTTTGGTCTACCTGTATGTTAAGAAGCGTGGCAGTAAAAAGCATTAATAAAAAAATAAACATTTTCCATAATTACTAGTAAGGTATTTATTTTTAAATGAAATGCCTCTAGATAATCATGCCAAAAAGACGACCCAAGCAGCTCCAGTTAAGAGAAAGCAAGGTCACAGTCTTATAAACCCAGGAAGCAAAAAGTAAGTATCATCCATAGAACTTACTGTGTAGCTGGTAGCTAATCTGTAATTGTTAGCATAGATATTATTCTATTATTCAAACTATCCAGAGTAATCCTTAATAGCCCATTTCCGAATTGCCTTTATCCTCTTTTTCAAAGCGAGTGCTGGTGCTTATCCTTTCGTATGGTAATAGGTTTTCATTCACATGCAAATTAAACTTATTTTCATGCATATGGTTGAGCACCAGGCCTCATTTTGAAAAAGAGGCCAAGTGTAATTCCTGAATGACCTATTGGACATTTTTAAAATATGAAAGAAAAATAGCTTTACGGAGCAATTGGCAATTACAACTGAGTACAGGTAGCTATAAGAGAGCTACATGGTTGTCCAGTTTTGGAATAATTGGGATTAAAAAAATTCATCAGCTGAAAAAGAGCTTTAATCAAGTCCTAATAGACTGTTACATGTAGATTCTACTTCCAAATAGTCTTGTATTCCTTTTTGAAACACAAATAGGGGATTGAATTTGATTTTGCATCAAAAATTGTAATTCTTTACTTAGGGCATCCTTTCAGTTTTTGTTTAAGACAAGTAGATTTATCTTGCCTCCCAGTTAGCTCAATAGAGCGCTGGACTGTTGAGTGAGAGGTCGAGGGTTCGAGCCCCAGGTGGACCAACACTCATGGTCTTAAAATTACTGAGGAGAATGTGCTACCTTTCTATA